CGGGAACCAATTAATTGGTTTTCCATTGTTTCTTATGGGAAAAATTTGATCAGAACTCAAACTTTTTAGGATTCGATCCAGAGTCCGGAACGGATTAGGTTCGAGAACCGAGGTACCACTGTACTAATTATGCTGGAACACATGGAAACGCTAGTAGGAGTCACCTTGTGCAAACATGGAAGTGTGTCATCTCTAGTTGTGTTGATGATGATGCAATGACACTGTTGTGTTTTGTTGACATCCATAGACTTTGACTGATGCCTTCAGCAGTAAGAAAGTTGACATTGCGCCTTGGATCAAGGTGCTCACCACGCGTGATGCAGAACACCTTAATAGAGGTCTGTCTGTTAGCTGTTGGTGTCCAGATGGGACATACCATGCTCGTTGGAGTTTACCTTAAACAAAAATGTTCTGAGGGCAGAAAGAAAAATGATTGGTTCTGAGAGATAGCCAATCAGATTGTAGAGGAGGTGGGTCCAAGCAACTAAAGAAGGCAGGACCAAGACATTTGATTGCTTGGTCCCACCACCTCTATAGCTATTTGAATCCACCTCCTCTACAATGTGATTGGGTCTCTCTTTGAACCAATCATTTTTGTTCTGCCCTCAGAACATTTTTGTGTAAGTAGAACTCCAATAAGCACATACCGTAGGTACAGCACAGTAAACACATCGACTTACTGACTCCCCTGTCTCTCTCTCTTAGTGTTGTCCAAGTGGGAGCGTGTTCAGGGGGTTCTTGTGGAAAAAGTGATACAAAATCACTTCTCTGGGGATCTGAAACTGGGGTTCCGCATTCTAGGTGAGAATGTAATGGTGTGTGTGCGTGTGTAGGCCTGTGAAAATCTTGTCTGTCGTCATACGACCATCTGTCTCTACAGTGCAGTCCATCCAGAACAGCCCTCTGTACCTGGCGCAACGTCTGCAGACCTCCATGAAGGTCAGGGGCCTTGACATTGAGCTCCCTTCCTCGTTTATGTTCTTCCTGTTAGTCTGTGTTTATTGAGTTTATGTGTGTCTCCTGTAGAAGAGTTCTGTGGTACGGGGCATTCTGGTGTCGCATTGTGAGGAAGACCTGCTCAGCATTAGGGTGGAGTTCCGTCGGCTGGCTGGACTCTCCCTCTACTCAGCCCTGCAGGTCAGAGGTCCAGATCGCTGTTCTTTTTGACTCCTATGCTCAGTGCCTTTCCTTCCTGCCTCTTCTTCCTGTTCTTTGCTTCCTCATGGTAATTAGATTTGTAAACAAGAGGTACATCCTCAATCACAGGGGACTTTCCTCTCTTTTTTTTCCCTCTCCATCTGAAAATTTTATTTTCAGGAAGTGTACAACCTTCAGCTCTCCTTTCTACTTTGAGTCATCTACTTCATTTGATGAAACAATGGCGGCAACATGTTTCCATGCAGGTCATCAAAATGCACGTAGGATTATTCCATGGAAGCTCTCAATCCTGAGTACAGATTGCCGTAATTTTCTGATTTTGTCTTTTTTTATTTCCCCCACAGAAAGATTTCAAAGGAGAACTTCAGCAGGCCTTTCTAGCCTTGTGTGGAGCTGAAGACTTATAGACTTCCTGAGATGTATTTGGTCCATTTCAACTGGTTTAAATGCCTAGAATCAATTCCTCTAACAAACTCCTACCTCCAGTGTGTGTATAGGGGAAAGTCTGACCAACTCTGTGAACATAAGCGCACGGCACAGGTAGAGTGGACATTGGTAAACTGGGACAGCTTAATAGACCACAGGAGCATGAAGAGTATAACTGTCCCAGTTTTCCCTTTGTCCTACTCTAGGTCGAAATGGGATATTATTAAGGGATTCTGCCTCTTTTGAGGGTAGATGTGAGTACTGAGGTAAAGAGACACAAATGAAAGCCTTTCAATAAACAAATATAAAACAAATGTGAAACTGTCATTTTTGGGAGAGAAGGAACAAAATGTCAGACACAATCCTTCTTGGCACATGTGTCCAACCTCCAGGGTGTCTGTTCCATGGAAACTAGCAAAGCAAAATACACTAATATAGAGGACACCTGGAACGTCGGGCAGGTGGAATTAATCAAGGAGAACGGTGATTATCACCTGATTGGCCGTCCCGATTTGGATGGAAGTCCTGTATCTTAACTGACTTATTAACAGTGTCTACTTTCTATCAAATTGTATATATCTCGACTAGACGACAGTCCTACTTTTGCTGTTTCTTACCACTTAGCTGGCGCACTGTAGATATCAGATATCTGTAGCTGATGTGGTTTAGTGAGCCAACAAACCCCAAACAAAAGGCTGCTGGAAGAAATGACTTCATGAGGTACGTTAATGACACACTTCTTTTCTGATATTTATATTTTATATCCTTTTTGATTCAAAGATCAAAGTTTCATTATAATTGAAATCAGAACAGCACCTAACACTAACTGTGACCCAGCCCCCAGGGTGGGATAGGTCATTTTTAAAACACGATACCACCCCTCCCTCAACACAGAAGGTTACGGACAACCAACTGGGCAAAATCCTCTGTGGATCTTTCTCCACTCACTCTAATCCCAGGACAATGTCAGCCAAAAGACAAGTATTAATATCCCAGGAGGCACATAGCTGACATTTCTGCGCTTCACTCATCTTAGGGACTCCATCAGGCAGGGGGAGTAGAATTACTCTCATTGTACGTGTATGTCTGTTGGGGGGAGTTGAGGCGGAGTTCAAGGGGCTGCTATAAAGGGAGCTGAATAGGGCAGATGGGCTTCTCTCTGAGATCATTCAGTAAATATGGAGAAGAAATAGGTGTAGTAATTTGTGGTGTCCCCAAGGGGGCAGTGCATACCTCACAGGTACCCTTATGAAGGCGTAAGGCAGTCTGTACTTTCAATGAAGCATGCAGCCCGGCTTGTAAGCAGTTTATTTTATTATGGACGTTGCATCTGTTAAAAGTATTTTTTCTGAATCAGGCTAATTCGTTTTTTTTTTTTTTCAAATGCTAAAAATTCTAAAAGCCTTAAAGCTTGATGTTAATCCAGATAGCAGAAATGAGTATTGCTATGAACTGTTTGTGGATGTAATCCCAGAACGATCCGTTTATTTTCCAGCTATTATATATGAGTCACAGAGGGATGGCTGGACGTTAGTGTGCGGCTTCAATGTGACTCTCCATTGGTGCCGGGGGCCAGGAGATCCAGGCCCAGCTGTCACGGTTCAGGCTGCCTTGTCCTGGCGCTGGCTGTTGTATCTTAAGCCTTTTTATGTTCTTCCTGTTTTTGTGGGTCTCCGGCATTCGCTCATTTTTTTCTCACCTGTTGCAATCCCATCGCTCATTCCTAACTAGTGTAGCAGAATGTAGCCACATTACTTATAAAAAAGATTCATTTTTATGTCAGCTTATATATCATCTTCCTCCTTCCTCTTTCACAGCTGTATTTTTTTCCTTATATATCATGTTTGAAAACTAACAATACAAGCAATTCATAAGTAATAGAGTACATGAACGCACTTTGCAAAACACAGCAGATAATATTATCGCTTTAAGTAGGACTAATGTCTAGTCACAATGTTGCACGCTTTAATGATGACTTTGTTCATCACTTTACCGGTAACTATGTTCGTGCTGCAAATGCCCAGCTAGCATCTCCTGGTCTGAATGAGCGAGGAAGCCTTAGAAACAGCCCTGGGATGAATGTGCGGGGCAGGAAAGGGAACGGTATGAAGGCGAGGGGGGGGGGGACTTTGAGGGACAGTGGCATGACACAGGGTCTTGGAGCCAAGAGGCCATTCTAGTGAGTGATTGATTAACAACAAAACGGAGAGAGAACATGGAATGATAATACCGAAGGCTGACTGAAATAGAAAGGGGGAGGGACTAAAAAGTGGGAGGGGCTATCCAGAGGCCTACGGTATAAATATAAAAAAAAAAATCCATACTAGTCCGAGGTTGAACTCTCTCCTTCACGTCCATCCGTCTCTCGCTCTCTGTGGGTCCCGATCAGGCTTCTCTCCCTCCATCTCCTCGTTTGCCCTTCGCTTCGTCGTCCCCCCCGTATCTTCTCCAGATCTTCCTTGGCTATAAGCGCCAGCCAGCCCACGTCAAGATGGAGGCCATCAAGAAGAAGATGCTGATGCTGAAGCTGGACAAGGAGAACGCGCTGGACCAGGCCGAGCAGGCGGAAATTGACAAGAGGGCCGCTGAGGAGCGTAGCAAGCAGGTGGGCCGCCGCCGGCATGGGGGCGGGGGGTTGGGGTCACAGGGAGAACGGGGGCCGGGGGTTGGGGTCACAGGGAGAGGCTGCGCTCCTGCAGAGGCGCTTCGGCCCAACAAGAATTTTAAGGTCGGGGGGCGAATATTAGGGGTGATATGAAACAGAGCTTTTAATTCTATGTTCGTACAAAATGTTGTGAAAACATACTTAAATCATTTATATTAGAATGTCTGTACTTAAGAATAGTGGTTGTTAGTTTATAAATGTGTATGTCATCTAATCTTGCATTAGCTGTTCATCTCAGAAAATTAGCTGCACATTCAGGGACAAGTCAGGCACATGTGATGGGGTAAACTTATACCACATTTACTCAGCGTGACGTGGAACTCTTTAACACCAGTTCGTGTAAACGGCAGGAATGTGTTTTATTGTGGCTGTGGCCCAGGGAGATCCTGCGACAGAAGAATTTAGGCAGCAGTTCCGCAACCTCCGAGGAAACAGACAGCATACCGCCTGCTGTGTGTCTTTCGAATGTCCGGAGTGAGGGGACACGAGTGTCGATGGGGCAGCGCTTTCGCAATAGGAGGCTCGATACTCACCGTCAATCAAAAAAACTGGATATAATGGGACTTTCAGGCAAATAAAAGAACCAGAGAGATACTGCCAGTTTTAACACGTTAAAGAAATGCACACAAACAACTGCACGCAGCAGTGCATTCCATAGATGATCCCTAAACTGATAACATGAGTCACCAGGCAGCCCCCCCCCCCCCCCCCCCAGAAACAAAGCCTCACACAGGGTGACCTAATAGGCACGAAACAGAAAAGGGTGAGGAGAAGAATGGCGGCACGCAGAAGGACTGTAAGGTGAGCAGCCACTGGAGGTATTTATATCTGCATGGTGCAGTGGCTGAGACACGCGGGGGCCTCGACGGCAGCCCTCGCTGTGGGGAGGGTCTGCAGGCCCCTGAGATGCTCTTCATTGTCAGTACTGCTCACTCTTCACCGCTGCTGCTCCCGGGTGCATATTTTTTTTATCGTCAGCATCACTCAGTAATCGGAAAAGCTAATATGGGGCACGTTGCTACGAACTCATTTATGTTTCTAAATAGGACCTTGTCCTGTCTTCCAATGTCTCTCTCCCTGTGTGTACTGTGCATCTCTGCTGACTTTCAGCACTCTTAAGACTCACTTTTGCCATTTGCCCTCTCTCCTTGTCCCGTCTGGGTCCGTCTCGCTTTCTCCCCCATCATCTCCTTCCCCACTGCACACCTTCCCCTCCTCGCTTCTTCTGCAATCTGCCCCCCCCCACCCCCCAGCATGAGGAGGAGCTGTTGGCCATGCAGAAGAAGCTGAAGGGTACAGAAGATGAACTGGACAAGTATTCGGAGGCGCTGAAGGATGCGCAGGAGAAGCTGGAGATCGCAGAGAAGAAGGCCGCAGATGTGAGTCGTCGTCCCCCACCCCGGTGACTGCGCGGGACTGCAACTTGCATGCAGCCGCATGGTGACAAGCATTGCTGGAAGTGGCAGCCACTGCATGCAGCTTCAAACCAAGTCAGTATTTACTTTGGACCCAAACCACTGCATGTGTTTGTTCACGCCCAGCACCAACAAACCTGATCAACACAGCCACTTAACTATGAATTCCGTGTGTCTACTGTGTGAATGAAGGGCTTGACACAGGTTGGATATGTAGGTCCCATGAAAAGGTAAGAACCCTGGAAATATACTTAACATCTCAAAGCTATGAAGCACAACACTAACTACAGGCAAAATAGAGTGCAAAACGAACATGAACTAAAAATCAAACACATCTCCCGTCCTCTCTTGTAATTCTCCATCAACTCCAAGCATATTTGCAATCGCAGTCAACTCTCCCGGTTACATCACTATAATCTTTTCACAAACTTTTCTCTGTCACTCTCTCACCTTGGACTTTCCCACACATCCCAAATCCCAGAGAGCCCTGCTTCGCTCCTATTCACCCATATTCAGATCCACCCCATGCTGGAAAAAGGCTGTCAGGATTCTGCATTCAGCTGCTGTTTCAGGCAGCTGTAGTAAGGCATGGACACGTAGGTGTCAGTCTGTGAGCTGATATAGGAGTGACTCAGTGAGTGAGATATCTGCAGGCTTTTATCTTAATTTAGCTGCTTTCCTTCTCACTTGGCCCGTGGCCTTGCTGGGTGCATTTCGTTGCCACACACTTTTGTGAAAAATACCGAACGGCAATAATATTCTACTGGGTACAAAACAATGACACTTTATTGGAGAATCATTAACCCCCCCTCCCCCGCTGCCCTTTGTGCATTTGTCTACATAGTACGCTCTGGATATAGCAAGGCCACCTGTTGCAGCTAGTTTGTCTTGTCATGGAAAAGTCAGGAAGACATGATCCGTGCCACGACACTAAAGGTTTAAAGCAGTCAGGTCGTCTCAGACAAAAGGCACCGCAAACGTGACAGTAAAGCTCATAGTTTAAGGGCACAGAGACAGTGGAGTGTTTCTACAATGTGTCCACTTCTTCTTTTTGGGTCAAGATCAGGACAGAGTGCCCAAGACCGTAGTCATTGTCTACTTCGTTGAATATCTATAGCCCAGAAACCAGCAGTTAAGTCATGGATCTTGGTTGGAAGAGCAGAATCCAGGCAATCTTTAAAGGACTAAAAAATACCAGATTTTATGTACAAGAGGAAATATCTTGGGCTGACGGAAATACTCTCTTTGCCAAACATGATGATATCGTAACTCAAAGGTGCTGGGAGCAAATAATTTCTGTCCTTATTGTGATTTAAGCTTCTGAGAGCCTACGTTTGGCTATTTCATTGTTACTAGTTAAAATATAACTGAGCTACAGAGTAGCCAGACAATTAAAGGCCCTTTCGTCATATCAGTAAGGAAACAGGAGTTACGCCTTCCTTCTTACTCCTTATATCCGAGCCCCTTCCTTCTTACTCCTCATATCTGAGGGATGGCAGTGAAGTGTCACTTTATCCTAAACTTCCTGTAAGACTTTAGAGTCACTCAAACACTGGTGTGATGCGTTCGGTCTTCGTTTTGGAAAAACCCACACAAACTACCTCCCAGGATGCCAAGGCGGAGCTGTGACATAGTGACAATGAGGAGAGGGGCCTGCACTGCTGAGATGTTCTCCAACCCAGCATCCCTAACTGTAATCCGACTCCGGCACTGATGCATGAGGTCTACCACCAGCTGTTCCAACGCCATTGCTGGGGTTAAATTCATTTAAGTGGTGTGTCACTCTCAGACACCAACTGGCTACCTATATTCACAAGTAAAGGATTAGTAACATTAGTGGAGTTGTTAGGTATTACCATCATCATCGCACCAAAGATAGCTTGATATCCATATACCAGGAAAGTGGCTGTATGGGAATGGAAAATACATACATATGTGATCCTCCAGAAATATAAGCCTGTTATTCCCTTACATTTACAAGGAAAAACGTCATAAAACGATTTCTTTGAAAGGAAGGCGTTTGAAAACCAGACTTTCCCTGTTTTCTTGCGATTTTAGTTTTAAACTAGTCACTTAAGTCAAATGACTAAACGCGTTCTAATTTTACAGACCTGTGTGTACTATGTTCATACGTTTAAGCATTCCGAAATATACCTTGTTATTATTCGTATGTTGATACACAAGTTCAAAGTAAATTCTTTTTATTGGAACTGCAATGCCGTATGGACACCTACTGGCCAACTATCTGCGTGCAACCGATTATCTGATTTTGTAAGAAGAGAAACTATGGCGTGGTTGTATGTAATTGACAAAGAGCGATGTTGCGGGAAACTTTACATTATAAACCACGTTATTCTACTAGTAATGGGGTGTTTGTATCAAAACGAAGCCATTACAGTTGCAAATCCGCATGACGCTTTTGCGTGGTATTTTTTTTGCGTTTCATGTGCTCGCACCTCTGCCTCTCGTCGCAACTTGCGCTATTGCGTAAGAGGGAAGTCAGCGCATTTCCAAAAAAGGAGCGTAAGCGAAGCAATAATGACTGAAAGTGTGAGCAACAGCACACGAACAAGCCCAATACCAATCCACGCCCAAAATCCACGCCCCCACTTCCCTTTCATTCACATCCTCTCGGCCTGTTTTCACTCCAAACAAATGTGTAGTCTAGGCAGGGACGTATAGAAAAAGTGCGTCCATGAGGTTAAACACCAACGCGCCACATATAACCCTAAGGACACGTTAAGGAACGGAAATACACAACGTTAATAGGTGTGAAAACGATTCATGTCGTTTTTTTTATATATAAAAAAGTCGGCACTCGAAAAAAGTTTGTTCCATATCAATTAATCTGCACTAAATTGTCTAGACGCACTTCGATGGAAGTAATTTAAATTAAAGTGTCAAGAAGTAAATAATATCGACCAGGACAAATTCGAACATCTATCAATGAATCCAGGTATTCATACATTCCACAGAAACGTTATACTGGGCCGGGCTCACATGACGCAGTCGCGACTGACGTCACTTCCGCTTCGGAGACAGGGTGGAGTAAATCGGAAGTAGATTGAAAGGAGGAAGGCGAGAGCGGTTTGGTAGCGCTCGGTGTAGGTTGCTGTCTTCCTATCTGCATTCGATTTTTGTATCGGTTTTCCTTGATAAATTAAGGCGTTCCATTCATTGATTGGTTTATATCAAGGAAAGCGTCTTCAGACAGCTTGGATAGCTTATACTCTCTCCCGCTAGTCAGTCGGTATTATTTTATTTATAAAAAAAGTTGTGTAGTCATAATTAGCTATTCCAACCCCCCGTAAAGATTGGAAATACGTCAAGGATCTGAAGTACGTCGTGTAAACTGGGCGAAAGTTAGCGTGTTATCCCGGGAGTGCACCAAGGGGGAGCCTTCTCATTTTTCAGTTTTGACTCGTTGGCGGGGCGTTGCTGTCTGGTACGTAAATCGTTATCGGACAACTAACCAGCTAGTCGGCAAGTCAGACTACCGGTGACCTCGAGAAAAGCGCAGTCTCAGTTCAAACCCAAAACTAGCATCCATTAGCAGCCGTCGTCCGCAGTACGCTCACTTCTGCCAGCTTTCTGAATCCGAGCGACGCATTTGCAAATAAAAATGGCCGGAGTGAACAGCATCGAGGCGGTGAAGCGAAAAATTAAAGTTCTGCAGCAACAGGCCGACGAAGCCGAAGAGCGAGCCGAGATTCTGCAGCGGCAGGTCGAGGAGGAGAAGCGGGCCAGGGAGCAGGTAATGGGCCATTAGTTACCGTTGCGGCGGACGCGCTTCGTTTGATCCCTTAACTACTTTTGCGTAAAACTTGTCAATTATTGAGCAACTTCACGGCCGGTCGGGATTTCTGGTGTATGAAGAATGTATTAGATTACGTGAAATCCAATCTTTAATGCTAAATTGCAACTTTGTCTGTAGTTCAGTTTAAAATTAGATTAGGAGGTCGTTGTTTGGTTACTTAACTCATTGTTCTTGTAATTATTAATATAGTTAATGTTATGGTTGGCGTTCAGTGACACCCCCCGCCCCAAATCTCAATGTTCCTTGGGATTTTCCGATTTGGTTTGAAATGGAGGATGTCTATAGGCACAAATGTAGGCTTAACATAAGGAATCACAACTTCGAACTTGGGACATTAGTGAGATGGAAGCGATTTATTGGGATTTAGGATGTAGTTTGTCCAGATGTTATACTAATGCGTAAAACATCCACTTCGAATTGGGATTATTTCTTTGATGGCGGTTAATTACGTAATACTGCTCGTACTGCAACATCAGTTGCGAATAATCTGGTAGATAACCCCATGTAGGGGATTTCCTAAGCAAATATCTTCGCAAAAAGTTTGTGTCTGAATGAGTATATGAGTAGAACTTGTTTCTTAAAAAAAAAAAAGTACGGAAGGTTACTTATAATTGGAGGGTTTTTTGGTCATGAAATGCTGGATTTTTGCCACTAGGGTTTGCGGACATTTTCCTTGTCTTCAGGCTTCCATTCACAGTACATGACGACATATCCAATGGCGTCCAATTAGTGTTAAAATGCCTACTTTTATGGGCATGTGATTTTACCTAAACGGTGTCTTAGTATGAGTAATGGTTGAACGAAAGAGTTGCGCTTGTGTAATCAGTATCCGATCTAGATGAACATGTACCAATGTGCACGTGCATTCCTGAGCTCCTGTATCTGCTAGCGATTTGGATATCCTCCACATGGGGGCGTAAACCTATAGAGCAGATATGAGTAGCTGGTCAACTAAGAATTTCTTTTTAAGCAGACATTTATTCAGAACTCGGCAGTGGAACAAAAAGAACAAATAACAGGTGTTTCCAAGAAGCAGAAAGGAGTGCAGTAAACGCCACAAATATCTAAATTTCCCTAACAATATTGAGCATTTCAGTGCTGACAGGTGAACAACTAACTGTGTGGTTGACTTATGACCGATGGCCGCAGGGTTCCTGTGGTCATCTTGGGGGTGTCCTTGAACAGAGCTCCAGCTGCTGAGGAACATGGCAGCTTGCGAGGTGACTGCATGTCCTGTTGACTCATGCTGTGGAGAGGCAGGAAATGTGCATGGCAGATGATTGAGGCACGTCCTTCCGCCAGTGATACAGGGGATATTCCTCGTAGAGGGGAAGCAGTTGTGCGTTTTACTCAAACATTTTCTCGTTGCATCTACACCTTTTGTGACTTATTTGTTAAGGATTCGAGGTTCTTTGAAGATGATGCTGGCTGGTAAGGTGTTGGCATTTTGCCGCGTCCTGTGACTGATAAATCTGAACTGGTTGCTTCGCATTAATGCCTTGTATTGTTGTGGTCATTTGTAAAAGCAGGTTTTCTTGGCCTAAGTGCCGAGTTTCCCCCTCCCACACCTGACATTTGAGCATCTGAATGTGAATGAAAGTGAGCCCACTGTGCTGACTCGCGTTTCACCGTCTGCCCGAGTGAAAGGAGACGGCTTCCCCCGAGGATTTACTGCTTTGCCACAGAGTGCGAGGAATTGTTCCTCAGAAGCACCCGAGGACCTGACCCAGACTGATTTTCAGTCTTTCAGCTAAATTACTGGTCTTTATGCCAGTACTAAAGTGGTTTGCTCGAGGTCTAAAAAAAAAACCTGCAGACAGTTTGTCATGGGCAGTAGTGGCTCATGCTTTTAATCAACTACACTGTTATGTAAGGGTAGTTTAGCTAACACCACCTCAAAGAGAATAGGCTGTGGTTTAATTTTGGCAAAAGGGGTTTGCTGAGGCATGAAGAAACTGAAGGGATGCGTGGATTTGAATATTGCTATGGCGATTGTCTGCAAATGAGGTGGTGAAAAATTGCGTTGGCGAAGAATTCTCTTCAGGATGAAGCGTTTACAGGCACACTGGCATGTTGGTGCTATGGCAACAGCCCTATCCTCCATCACTTAACTTTCTGCACAGAGGAGACTGCTTGCATATACTTATGTGCTGACCACACAGGTTCGGTGTGTGTGTGTGTGTGTTTCAGTCCTTTTCATGCTCTCTGAAAACTGCATCCCTTAGGTGCATCTTTCACTTTAGTATTTTACTTTCCTCTGCTTCTGAGTGCTACAGCTGGCTGACCTAGAGGCAGTCATTGCATGGGTGGTGTGTCTTTAGTCAGCCTTGAGTTGTATTATCTTAATACCTCTGTGTAACTGTCAATTGGGTCTAGTGCCTGTTGACGGTAGTGTGTGCCGTGTGTGTGGAATTGGTTGGTGTGCAGCACTCACTCTCATCCCTTCACTCGTCGTCTGGACTGTGCAGTCATCGCTCCACGTCGCCCCGCCTTGTCCATACAGGCCGAGGCAGAGGTTGCTTCCCTGAACAGGCGTATCCAGCTGGTGGAGGAGGAGCTGGACCGGGCCCAGGAGCGTCTGGCCACGGCTCTGCAGAAGCTGGAGGAGGCCGAGAAGGCAGCTGACGAGAGCGAGAGGTTAGCTGCCCTGCTATGGTCATGGCAGACGAGATCCCCTTAATTGAGTTGATGACACGTTAGTCTTCGCCAGCTCCGCGTAAAGTTCTGATGGTGTCTCTGATATGGGTGGTAACCCTACTGAAGAGAAACTGACGTTTGTGTACAATGATGCCATATATAGCATTTTTCTGGTAGTGTTTTGGTTACACCCACTGTATGGGACCTGCGCAGACTAGCAAGAACTCCTGAAGAATATGGCAGCCGCCTGACAACAAATAAAAGAACCAAGTCATTGCACTGCATTGTAATCGTGATTATATGGCACGTGTGCAATAATCACCGGAGCTTTAGGTGACGGGTGAACCACTTGTCCAGACGTCGACTTTGCAGTACTATATTGACTTTACTTACTTTGACAGTTTGATAAGCAGATTAGTAGTACGCCTAAAATATTAATGAGATTCGATTGTGACACCCAGTACTGTATATAAATTTGACATCATTGGACTTCAAACTGCAAAAAGTACCACCAACCTTTTTACCTTGTTTATCCACAATGCTCCTCTTTTAGAAGGTGGTGTGGCCGCTTACCAAACTAAGTGTCTGTGTAGTTCTGAAGAACCAGCGTTCGAACAAATGTTTCACCCATCAAGTGATTACTGCGCATGCAACATGATTGCAACAGCCTTAGTCAGACATTGTTACCACATTCAGCAATTTTTGGAAGCAGTTGATCTCCAGGTAGTGAAACTTGGCCCTGATGGCCTTTGACGTTCTGCTCAGGGGCATGAAGGTGATTGAGAACAGGGCCCTGAAGGACGAGGAGAAGATGGAGCTGCAGGAGATCCAGCTGAAAGAGGCCAAGCACATTGCTGAAGAAGCCGACCGCAAGTATGAGGAGGTGAGCCGCCCTGCCGCCCCCCAGCACACCTCTTCGGCTTTCGGGGTGCAGCAGCAGTCAGGAGAATGACCTACCCGCGTATCTCCGTATTTTTAAACCCGTGTGTAGGTGGCCCGTAAGCTGGTAATCATCGAGGGAGACCTGGAGCGCACGGAGGAGAGAGCAGAGCTGGCAGAGGCGTGAGTCACACTGCGATACGCACTGCACTCGCCGGCCGGGTGTGTGGCCGGCTGACCACGCACGCGCGCCCGCACACACACACACACACACACACACACACGCTGTGAGCGAGGCTGGACCCGCAGCCACGATTACATAAGCAGCCGCATCTCCATTCGCCGTCTGTCTCGATGCCGCCGTCATGGCAACGCATCGAAAACGAGGCTGTGGATCTGCTCTGCGGGGCCTTGGTAAGAAAGAGGTGCCGTGGAGACCAAGACATGAGGTGCAAGGACTGCCAGGGCTTTTTTTTTTTTTTTTTTTTGCCGTGGAGACCAAGACATGAGGTGCAAGGACTGCCAGGGCTTTTTTTTTTTTTTTTTCCCTTGCATGTGACGGTTGCATCCTTCATGTTCCAAGATATCCGCAAACCCACTTTTATGGATCTGCACTTGGATAGCTGGCTGCTCCCTGCTTCTGCTGTCAAACATCAACACCAGTGAACTTGCATTCTAGGCCTATTACATGTCGTTTACCTAAAGTGCTTTTGTAGGACTCAAGGATTCTGAGCTAATTCACTTCAGACATAATCACTGTGTATTGTTTAAAGCCTAAATTAAGAATATTAGCATAAAAGTGGGAATGCAGTATAATTTTCCCTTTGCCCTTTCTAATGTTTGCATGTTTGTGGGGGGTCGATTCCCTAAATGTTATACACCCTCTCCCCACCCCCACCCCCCCCACACCTACTCTGCATGTGCTTCTGTGTCATGTGACCATACGCCACTAACAGCAAAGCCCGGATGTTGGAGGAACAACTGAGGGGTTTCGACCAATCTCTGAAGAGTCTGCAGGCCTCAGAGGACAAGGTACTGCCCCCATTTCCATCTGCAGGGACGCAGCAGATTGTTCCTTTCCCAAAGCCCCCCGATGTGCAGAGAAGGAAGTGATGGGGGGGGGGCGTTAGATCCTGCTTGTCAGAAGCAGTAGGTGTAGAGTATAACCCCTTCCTGCATTTTACCCCTGCATAAGCTTCCTTTCTTAAAGGGGAGTGTTCAGACCTCTTCCCACCTGTTAGGAGCTGGGGTGTGTTTGGTGGGCGTGGCCCTGCGTGGGGGCGGGGTTTGGACTGCCTAGGTGATCACCTTCGAGACCCCGACGCACTTCCCAGGATTGAACTGCCTCTTCCCATTGCCCTTCTGGTCATGCTGCCGCCTGCCTACCTCCAACCTCCCGTTCCTCCCTCCACCCCTTGCATGAGTTAACCCACATTTCTGCCGTGCCCAGGAATGTGTCCTTTGCCATGTACGAATCCTCCATCTGTCACTTTCTCCTGTTCTGCCAGGAGTCCCATTTCATCGTCCTAATTTTTTTTTTCCCCCCCTCCCCTCAGCTTCCAAGTTTCATCACGCGCCATAATGCCGTGACACCAGGCTAGCTTCCTGTCTTCTCGGTCTCCATGTCAACTCTGCCTCACTGTCTGTACAGCCTTTGGTTGCCCCCAGCTGTAGCCAAGTCTGGGGAAATCTAGAACGCAAACAGTCATTACATTTAAGAACTGGAATTGCTTTGAAGATTAGTAAGAAATGACTGATGGTGTAGATCCCTGGTTGTATTTATGGGTTAACTTCATGCTTTCTCTCCTTTCTCTTCAATCATTTCTTCTCTGAACCTCTTCTCTTTTATTTTTTTTTTCTCCACCTCCCCCCCTCCCTGACCCCCATCCACCCTTTGCTGAAACAAAAAAAAAACAAACATAAAATTTTAAACTGCAGCAAATGTGCCGAGTTGGAGGAGGAGCTGAAAAATGTCACGAATAACTTAAAATCCCTGGAGGCCCAGGCCGAGAAGGTAGGAGAGGGCGGGGAGGGGGCCATCTGCATGTGCGAGTGCGTGACCCGCCCGCAACCGGACCTGCGGCTTTTTCCCTGCGTCACCCCCAACGGCCGTATGATGGACTCTAATGAAGGGCACTGAACTACTGCTGCATCCTGGAATTATAACCACCCCCCACTGCTGTGTAACTGCACAGTGCAGGGACCCTCTCCAGCATGCCTGGGTGCACACTGCCTCTTAGTGCCAGCTCTTGTGCAGTCGGCCGTAACGGGGATCACGATAATTGTTTTTGTTCGACTTGACAGATGGCTAGCTGATTCCCTAGATGGTTAAACACTTAATCTGAATGCTAGCCTTTTTGAAACTGACAGTAAATACCCACTTGGAGCCTCTGCTTCATTGCTGGATAGGAGCAGATGGGAGAGTATCGGTTTGTGGGCACTATGGCGTGGCCAGCGGAGCTGCACAGACTAGATATGAGCTACTTCCAAAAAAATCCAGGTGCATGGTAGTGTGTGTGGCTAATATCGTCATCGCTTGATGTACTTGCATCATGGTTGTATTTCCTATTTCCCGTTGCCGGTGTATGTTTCAGGTATGAGCCTGAATGCTTATCTTGGAGTCAGGGTTCAGAAGTAGGTTGTCAGACTAGGCGACTCCGACTCCCTTGGCTGAGGCGGCGAGGGCGTGAGCTCCTGTTCAGCCTGCTCCACGGCCGTCTTAGCACAGCGTCGGCAGGAAGCTCCCTTCCAGGCGATTAGTGAGGCCGATTTTACAAGGGGGGAGGCGCTCCATAGAACCCGTCTGTCAGCCTTGCCGCCGCCACCGACCCCGTGCGACTGGTGGGGTGGGGGGGGGGGCTGGTCCGTGCGCTGAGCGGCCCCGCATGACGCTCCTCGGCCGTGATTCATGCAGCCACACCCCGGTCGTGCAGCTGCAGGAATGCTGGCCCACGCCCATGGGTGACGGCATGCGGCGCGATGGAGCATGCAACAACGCAGCTACTCAGGGCCGGCAGAAAGGCCCTTTCAGGCCATCGCTCGGCGTGTGAGGAGTGCAGAGGGAACTCCATGTGCAGCTCCATGTTAAGCGACAGTCAAGTCATTTTTGAAGATATGCTTGGCTCCTCTTTGTTCCAGAGAAGCTCTGAATGTGAAGCTCCCAGTTATTTGCTGTCCTGTACATTACTGTACCTCAGTCTTTAGTCTGACCTCGCTCTGTAATATTTGTATCATGACTTTAGAAAGAGGCTTTGGTTTTGGAGCTGTTTTTTTTTTTGGTTTTTGGACGGCGGCATTTTATGCCTTGTTTAAAAGGGGGGGTTGTGAGACGACAGCCTGACACTATTTTTTTTTTTTTCCCTCCACCGAGTGAGAACAAATGAGATCAAATCTAAATGATCCACTTCCCTTTTTTATTTCTGTTATTGTCAGAGGTACAAGGCTTGGGTGTCGCTGTACCTTTCCAGTGTTGATGTGTAGGTTAGGCCATGAACCAAACTGTGCTGCTTCCTAAGCTGTTGTAAAACTCCAGTGATAGAATTGCTAGTGTTGGATCTCAAAGACAAGTCTGTACTCTTTCACTTAATCCCCTTTGCTGTTGTAATGCTGGATGAGGTCCAGCATGTATAAGCTCGGCGAGGGAGGAGTCAGGGGTTCTCTAATAGCTTCTCTCCCTTCCAGTACTCCCAAAAAGAGGACAAGTATGAGGAGGAGATCAAGATCCTGACTGATAAGCTGAAAGAGGTGAGAACATCTTTCTCATTCATGCAGTAAGTTAACCGTAAGCACACAAGCCACAAGGAGTTTGCTTGTTGCTTTAGTGGTCGGACTGGCGCCTTAAGGATTCATCAGCTTCAAGGCTGCTGTGTTATCTGTGGAATGTGGGGCCCGGCCTCTCAGCTGTGCCCTGCTCTAATGGAGTTAAACCAGATGTTGTAGTTGAATATGCTCTTGCTCCTTATTGATCCATTCTTTGCATTGCTGAGAGAGCGTGGGGTGACAGGTCATGACGTTAAACCGCGTTAACGCACCGCCTCTGTGCTCTTCTAGGCTGAGACCCGTGCCGAGTTTGCTGAGCGGTCGGTGGCCAAGCTGGAGAAGACCATCGACGATCTGGAAGGTAGGGTCATTCCGTGCTCTGCTCTTCCGTTCCCCTGCTTTCCTTTTCATCCGCTCTTCATTATCCCATTCATTATCCTCCGCTGTAGCCTTCTCCACTCTTTTGCCATGCCTCTCCCCCATGTCTCTCTACCTTCCCAACCCCACAGACGAGCTGTATGCCCAGAAACTGAAGTACAAGGCCATTAGCGAGGAGCTGGACCATGCCCTCAATGACATGACTTCCATGTAAATACGCATCTTTTGTGGTGCCTGCCTGCCTTGTGACGTGTCGCTATACATGCATGATTGTCGTGTCAGACATTGCGCGTGGTAGCTGAATGGCTGTGGGCCGTGTGACACACCGTGTTGCAGTGTGTGTAGGCGTGTGGATTGGATTAGGAACCACCCGTTCTAAACTACTGGAACCGAAAGAACGCCGCCAATCTTCGGGTTCCCTTTTCTCCTCGCGTGTTTTTCCTAAGTTAGATGTTGTTGGCTGTTACCTTGGTAACGGCGATAACACCGGCAGTGTTGGCCTCGGACCAGCCTTCACCCGGCGGCCCTGGACTCGCTCTCGCATTGAATGAGCAGCGGCGACTCTCCAGCGACATTCTCAGCTGCCCCCCACCCCCGTCGACTCGTGCGCTATGCGTGGCTAACCATTAGACTGGCCACGATTGGCCGCCCGACCCCCGGTGTTGCATGCTGGAGTGCTGTTGGCTTTAACATGCATGAGCTGCTCTGCTCTGGGCCTGTTCTCTTCCAGTACAGCCACGTTTTAAGCCTTCCCCTTCTCTATTACAGATAAGCTGGAGTCTTAAGTTCGGGGAAGCCTATTTACGCCCTTTTGGGTCCGAGTTCACGTTTGTTCAGCCTGACCTTCCACCTCGGCGCCTGCACCCCACCACCATTTCCACCTCTTTAGGACTTTGTAGATCTTACTGTCCCATATCCACGGCTGCTCTTCTCCGCTGTGACCATCCCGACCAACTCCCTCCTTCCACCCCTGCCCTCCACACTGGACCTTGCTCCTCATCTCCTTCTGTCAGCCCTCGTTTTCTTTGCCTGGCACCGAAGCAGCTGACCTGCTGTATCTCAGCGTTACTGAATTCTGTTCGTCTCCAGGCTGCCCTGTTTCCATCTCTCTGTGCTGTCCACACCAAACCTGTCACTGTCTCTTTGCTATCAAATGAAATCTAGAGGGAAAAAAGCCAAGCTGACTTTGCTGTCTTGTGTCTGCGGTTGTTTCATTGTGTTGTGGCCTAAATCGATGGATGTGAAGTTCATATGCCCCTTCTGAGAGTGTCACCATCTACCTAACCTATGTCCCTACATATGGATCGTAACTGGGGTGCCTCTGATCTTATAACTATACATTTTCCTGCAGACAGCTTTATTTATAGCAGGTTCATTTAGAGGTGAATATATAAGACCCTTAAATGATTTATTACTGGATTGACTTTTAGTATAGTGCTACTATTATTGAATCACTGCTATAATGGTGAGTCAATTCCTTAATGTACATGGAATCTAGGAATAGTGTTACATGCAGGTCATATCAGGTTACATTATCTGTACCTAAACATTTCTGTTATGAAACAACATTCTAGGGTTAAAATACATTTAAACCTGTTTAACAAAGATTCACAGCCATATCCACAATCAAAGTCCCATAAAGTCCAGTTCCAGACAGTCCTGTCACTCCAGTTTCCCTGGTCAGTGCCTCCGTAGGACATCGGAAAATGAAATTGGAGCATCTCCAGGAAATATACATGATCTATTGCATTTCAAACACCTGCGGCAGGGCTGTAGGTACTTACCCAATGTATCCCTGGAACATAATAAAGAATGTGAAAGTTGGCAGTGCTGAAGGAGCTCCATCGCTTTGGTTGGACATTTCGGTCTGTAGAAGCCACACACCAACTTGCCGCTTGGGTTGAATATCGGTGACTTTTAAATAAGTACAGCTGGTGACGACAACCATACTGTCATGTGCTTAGACTTGTGAGTTTTGAATCGTTGAACCCTTTTGTTTTGGATTGTTGCTTGGCGCACTGCCTTAGACGTTATGGGTTTTATAGAGGAACTATCTGTACAGAACATTTGTGGTTGTGTAGCTGGGAACAGGTGCCCACAGTTCCTCTAAGACCCATGGTGAACATGCAATATACAGGTGAGATTCATAATGAAATGCTCTTCAAAAAAGGAAACGTGGTTCTGCGGCAGGTTAGCTGTCTGGCAACATCATAATCCCTCATGCAAAGGGCAGAGCTTCTGTTTCAGGCTGACTAAAGTGTCATAGAACTAGTTACTGAAACAGGACATACTATGTCTGTGTGCGTCATTAATTAGGCCCTTTAATTATCTCTGTAGTGCTATGTTATGGCTACTTAAGATAATCCGGGGGAAAATGGTGATAGACAAAACAAAAATGCATCACACTACCTTTTATCTCAAAGCTTTGACTTGTCCAGATACATGTCTGTAAGCCATCTTCACACTATGCATAATGGGGTTTGGCGTCCCTAACTTCTGAGGTGGTGACATTACACCCTGAGCGCACACAAGCTGACTCAACAGTTTGTAACTGCTATAGAAGTGTAGGGCCTGCAGCAGATGCTCTATAAACTAATGCACAAGAACGGCTCAAGTAGGAGTTGGGTCATCTTGGACACACTGAGGTGCAAACAGTTTAAAAAAAAAAAAATTAAAAATGTTCCCAGACATGTATCCCTTAATTGTTGTTTAAATTCTGGTATAATGCTGTAGCGCTTGGATCAGCAGGTTAATGCAAATGAGTTTTTATATAAATGCTTGGAAAAAGCTACAGTAGGGGTCCTATTGGGCTGCTTCCTACTTTTTTTTTTTTTTTTTTTTCTTTCCATTTCATCACTGGTCATTCCTCCCATTTTCCTGTTTCTGGTACTGACACTGTATTCACAGTGCTAGAAGAAACCTGAATGTAATTTCAGTGTAACAAGAGTCTCGTGTTCAAAGTGGGCTACTCATCCTCCCCATGTAATGAAATGATACTTGAGGACAGCCCATGGTAGTCAGTTAGTGGAGATTTTGCTTTCAGGCATTGACAATTCTCCGTTTGTTGTGCGTGAATGGATCCAATGAGGGCCACAGCTCTTCGAGGACATTATGTCCCAGTTTAGGGTCAAGTGGAACAAAAAGTGAGCACACATGGCTTATAAAGGAAAAGAGGAAATGGGAACCAGCCTATCAGAACAGAGAGGTATGACATGTAATAGTGGGTAGGACCAGGAATACAGACGCATCCAAAGCAGCACCCACCAACGGGGCGGAGCAAATCTCTCTGGAATGAACCTGGGGTTGCGACAACCTGGACCACCCTTTCTCTGATGGTGTATATGCTTTGCTAAGCCTGGAACCTTTTTCATGTTCTCTGGGTCGACCTTCACCGGTATACTCCGGCTCGCTTGATCTGGCTTCACATTGTGGCTAGTTTTAGATTTTCCATCTGCAACTTCTCACATCACGATATCCATTTCAGAGCGGCTGGCCACTGCCAAGGAGGAGAACCTCAAGATCCATGCTACCCTGGACCAGACCTTGCAGGATCTCAACAGCTTCTGAATGTAGCTGCAGCCTGCCACCCCCTCCACCTCCACCCTAATTCTTACTGTCTGTACCACACCCACTCTGTCTGAAGTTGTCGATAGGATGGGGCCAGGGGTAGATGTGGCGGTCATAGAAGTCCTCGATCCTATCGGAATCCTGACCTATTTTTCTACCTAAATAATCCCTAATCTTGAAAGCTCACCTCTGATTAGGACCAAGGCCTGATCTTGTTAACATCCCATTTATGGTGTGATCAGGTGTTTAAAGTGTGTCGTACCCAATAATGGGTGACACCAGTCTTAATTATTGCTTATCTTGCTGAACCATACCTATGGTGCAGTGAAAAATCACACTGGTGTAAATTTGTGAGGGATAACATCCTTAATTGATTGGTTGTTTTACTTGGCAAATGTTGACCATAATTTTGGGACCAAGACATGCATTCCAGAGTTTTTTCGTGTTTGGCACCCCTGAAACTATATTCACTCTAACTCCTGCTCTTAAACCCTACACTCCTACTTCAGCATTGTTTTGTATTACAACTAAGACTTCCACTTTTAGTTGACTGGGACCATGAATGTGTTATCTTAGTTGTGTATGTTACGTTGTTAGAAATGCAGGGGTCTATATGGGGATCACTTGTCTATTACGAGTTTTTCATTTTTTTTTTTAATACTAAGTCATACCCTGTATAAGGGCCTGTGTAACTTTCTGTTGCTGTACTTACTAACGGTTTTTTTTTTTAACTTTTCCCTCTCAGGAGGGTGGACTTAAGTGTGGTCAAGCTGAAGCATAGCTTGGGAATCCTCATCTAATTGGAACACTATGCAAATTTGCAAATTTTGCCTGTAATATGCTATTAAGTCAGGGGGGTATTAAATGATCAAACTATACCACTGCCAAAATGGAACACAAGGGGCCAATTGAAAGTTAAAGGGAGATGCGTTTGCAAAGTTTTTTTTTTTTGTTTTGTTTTGTTTTGTTTTTGACTTCTCAGTGTAGGGGGAAGAGTGATTATTCTGCTAAATAAACTGGAAAAAAAACTTGTTTTTAAACTGGAACATCCAAACTGGAGATGTAAACATTTTGATACGGTCAATATTTCATTGTAATCGCAACAAAGGAGAATGTGGACAAGTGATTTTTAAATAAAGGACCATGATTCTTATTGATATACCAGACTTCATATATTTCTCTTAAAATATGTTACTGATTTGCTGTTTATGGACATAGATGCACATTGTACATATTTGCAATTCAGTGCTGTTTAGAGGCAGTAGTGAAGTTACATAACAGTGAATTAGACTTCCAGTGTTGGTGCAATGCAGCATCTTGGGTACCTAAGCCTCTGTGCTTCACTGAGCCTTCAGTCCCCTCTGGTGTCAGACATGCAGTGAGAATCTGTTCTTGCATATTGTATGTTCTACACGAAGCACATTTTGAAGTCATTTGTGTTTCAGAACATCCAGAAAACGTGACTCTTACAAGTGTTTGTCTGATTTCCATTATCTTTTGCGGTCCTGCCCCACCTCTATTGAAAGGTCTGCCATTGACACCTGGTGGGCTTCTGTTGTAATAACACACAACTGTTTTTATTCCACTGACACAAAAAGTCAGTTATTCCAAAAAACATATTCATACCAAATAGATTGTTCGCATATATATAATCAACTATGTTAATCACCGGTAATTACACTGGTAATCATTTTGAATGTGAATCTCTCGTATCGCCCACCGCTACTTTCTCCAGGGCCACTGCGAGCAATTCATTCAGCTGCTCGTCCAGTGGTGGACCGTCTTCATCATTACGAATCGTCCAGTCGAATGTCACTCCTGTGTCCAATCCACACTCTGACTCTGCATCATCGACTCCTGAAAAGACATTGTCCAGAGGTTTGCTATGGCATCGGTTATACATTCACTGACCGTTACAAACTGGAGGGTTGCATAAGGAATAGGGAAAGCAGTAAGTCGGCAAACATGGGGGTAAAAGATATTCCCCGCAGTAACCGCAGGATCTTTATGGTAATAAAATGTAGGGTAACGACAGGTTATAGTAATGAGATCGAATTTGCATACAAGTAGTTCTAGGCCCATCTGCTATATTATAAGTCCTTTCATTCTGTTAAATTGCTTGTTCTCACCCTAACACCAGCCGGTGGCAGTCTGGCCTAGGCTGTGCTCTGCTGATGAATTCATCAAAGTACACGAGAAACATGCTACTATTCATGCTAATTTCAGATCAGTTCCAAGCTATTTTTCTTGGCTAGAATAAAAATATTTGGGTATTTTGGTCTGAGTAATCCAAAACATGTCTAAGGGCAAAGTTGCAGCTGAGAAATTTAAGGTATTTAAATGCACATATGGATATGAAAGTGTAGGGTCTGCAGCAGATGCTCTAGGTGTGTCACTGAACGCGAGGATGGGGTTGGGTCAGTTTTGGTCCATGCGGGGACAGGGTGGGGACGGTTTAGATGTTTGGAGGGATGGAAGGGAATGGGAATAGATATCCCTGTGCAGCGCTCTATTCCAAATTATTCTGCAAAGTTCTGCATAGAATGAACATGTACTTTTGCAAAACATTCAGGAGAGACAGCCAGCTGGTGGGGGGGCCCTGGTTTATTAAATTCTCAAATGGAACATAGTTTTTCTCTTTGACCATTTCAGGTTCCATAACTAAGAACCATAACGTCAACGGAATTCTTACTGCTCTGACAGTAAGGCAGCAAATGCCGAATTTGTTCTCAGTGATGAGTACTAGCGATGCACCAATAAGGACATTTCTGGCGGATATCCATAGGCGTGTCGTAAACTGACTAGGACGTTCTACTTAAATATGTTTGAAGTGACACTCCACCCAAATAAATTAAAAAATAATTACATTCCAAAAACATGAAAAAGTTTTTATTTTTGAATAAGAAAACACCAACTCTGGCATACAAGTCTCAGAGTAGTATATTTTATAACATTTATAACAGAGAAGGAATGATCAAGTGTGATAAACTCCAGTGTTTTCAGAGTAATATCTTTTGATTTCACACTGTCTGCACTGAATTTTCTTTTCCTATCTAATGCTCTCATTAACAGACGGACTAGCAGCATTCAGCAGTACTGTAGCCGTCTATATTGGAAAGGACATTTTCATACTGTTTAGTACACGGGTGTGCAAAGCAATAGAGGGGGGGGGGGTCACCATTTTAAAGGGAATTATTGGTGGTAAGTATCAGCTCATTTCTAACCAGCGGCCGATGGCCGACTGCTGCTGTGTTGGCCGATACTGATAGCTGGCCGATACAATTGGTGCATCTCTAACATCACACATAAATAAAAACAAATCACAGAAATAAGATGGCCTTCTTCCAGGACTGACGGGGACCCTAATGGCAGAGGAGAACGTCCTTCATGCCAAAGCCTTGGAGACGTTTCCTGTGTCCCTCTCTTCATCGCTGGGAAAAACTGGCCAACCTTAAGCAAAATAATAAACCTATATATACATATGTCTTGTAAGGACTACTGTGAATATTACTTGTACACCTCCTGGATGTTGTCTTAAACTTTAATTTTCCTACATGCATGGTTGTACAAGATAAAACAGGATAGATCAGAATCTATATTTGCACTGATAAGTGTCGTAATTAAACCATAAATCATGCCATGCCAATTCCCCTTAAGCTGTTGTTTTATGGAGCCCAAAAACACTTTAGACTGAGAAAATAAATCCTTCCCTTCGTATCATGGGCATTGTGACTGGGTATTCGCTGATAAGAATGCAAAGGCACTGTGACATTTCGACTATGCCAGTCTTTTGTCATGCTTATTCATACAACAAACAGTTTTGAACAAATGCCTCATTAGTTCCTAATTATATAATTAGTTATGTGCCTTTGCTGATTATTGTGAAAATTATTGTGGTCCACAATGTGTGCAGTAATGGAGTTTATTTTCCTGAAGCTCATCATTAAGAGTCATACTGACTTTAGCTTACACCATGAAGGAACTGGCTTGGCCTAATGGTGCCTCAGATAGAAGAGACTGGTAAAGGATGCTGATTTGTAACCTGGAGGTTATTGATTCATAACCCAGGCTGTATAAATGGGTTTTATGTAGCAAAATGTTGTCTAGGCAACCAAAGAAAACAGTCATCAACATTTTCAATATATTTCTGTGCATTTCTTGCACTATATGACTACCTCAAAAATAAAACCTGTATCTGTGTAATAATGCACAGATCTTCTATTTTTTCAGTCCTGCCTAAATTACAGTATATGTTTCATGTACGTGAGAAGAAGGAGAACAACGCTTTGCTGAGTCAGAGAAGAAGAAAGAAAAATCTAAAATATAGGACGATAAATGTATTACGTGCCTGGGGTGAATTCCCAGCCCCTTTCTTTCCTGGTTTGATCCGAGGCCTCAACTCGTACGGAGCGGCTTTGGGTTGGATACTCCATCCGGAACCATTGCAGGTCTGACAATCTCCTGATGTCGCTCACAATCTGGACCCAAGGGGACAGACAAACTTCTCAAACGCATGGTGCAGACTGTACTGCCATGGTACACGGCAGGACGAGGAAAGTCTCTGCCATCTCACCCAAATGGGCTGCGTGGCGCCCATCAGCACCAGGCGACAGAAGAACCCAGGGTCGCTCTTTCTCCGCAGCTCACCCCACGCTATCATATCTGCTCGGTACCGCTCTTTGTACTGTCCAGACCCGAGCAGCTGCTTGTAGTCCAGTCCGTTCTCCTACGACAAAATGCAATCCAACTTCACTGTGCATTAAGAAAATAAACCTAATGTAACTATAACATTATTATTATAGATATACCAGTGGCCTGTACTACGAAGCGGGGTTACTGGCTTATCGGGGTAACTTGTCGGATTTAAGGTACCACAGTTTAAAAGGACTTCATTTTCGTTCACTTACATTTTGCCCAGACAACCTTAAATCCGACAAGTTACCCCGATAAGCCAGTAACCCCGCTTCGTAGTACAGCCCCCAGGATAATAAACGTTAAAAAAACTTTTTTTTTTTAAATCTGAAAACAACAGAGTAGAGGATAAACAGACTTATCACACAGTCAAATATATTTATACGTGTTACATACGTACCTGTGCGTATTGTAATTTGAGCGGTGCAGACAAGCGCAGAATACAACATGCATCGGGACCTAATCTGCCAAATAAAGGTTCATTTGCAGTTATCCAATGCGATAACATTATGCCATGAGAACGATCTATCCAGCAGCTTCATCACTCACCTTTTTTGAATTAAGTGAGTAACATAATCTTTGCCAGACTTTCGCTTCCCGCTAAATAAGAGTATGAGTTTTGGTGTAGTTTTCTCCATTTACATTAGTTAAAAGTTCATTTTAATCCACAGGATACTGGAGATACATGAAAGTGCAGCACTCCGCATCAGACCACTGACAACATGTTTTACCGTAAGTATTAGATAATTTATTACCTTAAAATAATTCCTAGGTAGCTATTGTATACCCGTTATCCATTACTTTGTAGATAATTTATAACAGACACTTATATTGTGTTCAACACAAAGATTTTGTTTTGTTTTTTTTTTGGCGGAGTGGGGCGGGGTAAGTGAAATAAAATGGGAAAATTTTATCAAACGTCCCACTTTTCACAATGTTATACGGTAACGGACGACCATCATACCATGGTGACTAGCGATCGAAAGCGGAAGTACTTATAATCCATAACGTAAAGGGTGAAACCGTAGAAAAGCAATAAAATGGACACAGTTGTGTATTAAATAACGAAATAGTACATAGTACAGCTTTTTTATTTATAATGTAATTAGTATTGTTTTGTATAAATTTATTTTGTGTGATATAAAAAGTACAAAAATACAACTAATATTTTAATGTAATATCCCTCCTACTTGTTGGTAAATGTTTTCGTCCAACGCCTCTGAAATGATGGGCGTAGTAAACATTTGAGTCGCTTGTGGCGCGAGTAGTGGCTGAGGTGTGTATAGTTAAATACGTTAATGATGTATTTTACCAAGAGAATCCAGTCAATCCTTTCAAATTGAAGAGCTTATCTCTTTCATGTCATTATAGTAATTTTCCTATGACTCTGCTCTGTTGCAATAGGCCCTATATAACGTTACGGACAGTGTATAAACACGCACTTTTTTGTGTAACAGATGTGAAATATGTATTTTTCCTTACATAGAGAACTTATCCATTTGTTTTCTATAAGCCATGTTTATTCAGTTATTTGAAAATTTCCCATGAGAAATTACACTTAGTACCGGAAAGTACAAACGGAAAATAACTGAACATTTTCAAGATATTGTAAAAATAGATAACATATTGTAAAACAAATATTTCATGCATTGACCACAGCTTTCACAAAGATTCCATGCATATTATTGTATTGTGAATTTTTATATCTTTTTTTCTCTATATAAGTATTTTAATGTAGTTTCTTGTAATTAGGTTGTTGCGGTCTAATTTGTTTAATACATGTGTTTATAAACAAATTTAAACCGTAACCCTCGTTTTCAGAACAGAGGGTCATTGTCAGATTTCCAGGCCTGTCCGGTCCCTGGCCGCAGTCGTCCTCTCCGTCCATGCAGACATGGCAGCTTGTGATTCGCCCGCATCACAACAGAAGTGGTGCACGAATCTGGCTTCTGCACCACTTCACACCAGTCCGGGTAATCAACCGGCTGTGCGTCCCTGCAAGGAAGACGGAGACAAGCTGGATATCCGAGCAATAACGATGAGTGCAAGTCGAGAGTGTAGATCAGGGGTCACCAACATGCCCCCTAAGACCACGAGTCGCACGCGGACCTGTTCTAAAAATAGCACAACTCACCAGTGAGCAGCGTCTAAAATTTAATTTTATCCAGTTGCTATTCTTTTTTAATCACATTTGCTTTTATATAGATATGACAATATCTAAAAAAAAAGAGCATTTAAGAAATGTTTATTATAGGCTACATGAAGTTTAGAGGGCGTTTCAGACTGGTAGCCCTTCGTGTAGCTCAGTACCCGTGAAGTAACTCTCAGTTTCAAAAAGGTTGGTGACCCCTGGTGTAGATAATTTGGGTTGTGTGTGGAGTAGTACTGGTACACCAGGACTTGGTATTGTTGGGTTCATGTCTAGTTGCACCTAGACATGAACCCCAAAGACGTTTCTCCCAGGGAGTGTAAAAATATAAATACGTTTACAATAAGTTACTATTACACACTGATATGACGAACACAAGCTACATTTTCAAATATAACTGACCAGTAGGGGGTGCAATTTCGTCCCCGGAATTCCCGGTAAAATCGCCTATGACTGATCCGACTTCACGAGGCAGTACTGCCGCATGGTGGTGCTGTCTGGTTTGCATGGCACTCACTGGTCACAGCAGCCCACTCCGAATGGCTCCATGCAGATGCAGAGGTAGCACTCCATGTTGGTCCAGCTCTCGCCCATCCTAAACACCTGGCCCCGATACTCACAGCTTGCTGCACAAGACACATGGGGGCGTTCAGAAACGCGGACGCTGAAAATGTTAAGCAGGGCTCTCAAATCTCACGCATTTCAACCGGTTCACACGCTCACACCTTGCCACACCTTGTGTTTCTCACGATAAGAAGGGATAACGCCCACTACGGTGTCCCGTTATATAAAATTAATAGACGCGGCGCACACATACGGGGTGGTTTTCCGCCAGTTCATTTACCTAAAATGATGTCACATGTTTTTTGTACTTTAAAAAAAAAAAAACACATTACAAATCTGTCAAACAGGCACATGCAGACAGAGGAGAGAGACTGGGGGTGCCTTAGCACTTGCCCCTTTTGAAAGTGCCCCCTCCCTTTTGATGCTCACCAGCCCCTCCATCACAAAAATATACTGAAGGGGACGTCACTGCTGTGAAATGCTGTGATCTTTCAAAAAGCGAAGCCGTCTTTGCATGCTATACTGATCAGAGATAATTCTCTCACAGTGAATTTGTAAATTTGATGCAAAACAGTCTTCATTTGTATATGCATAGACCCGTGATCAGACTGCCTGTTCCTTTGTGACTTGGTTGAACTCGCTATACTTTATTCGTCCTGCACTGAAAGAAAAGCAGCGTGAACTGAACAGATTTCAAATCGCCTGGATGTAACATCATTACAAGCAAACACTTAATGAAAACTATGTTAATATAATTGCATCTGAATATTTAAGTTGGGGTCACTCAAAGGAATATTGTGCATCTGAGAAAAAGGTACATGAATTCTATAAACTGGCGATGTATAACTATTAACTAAATGTGCATTAATCTGGAAGAATACATTTTCTAAAATACTTTATCTGAGCAATGTATTTCACTCACATTTTTTGCCCCTCAGTTGTGTCATATAGTAGAGTATGCATATCAAGTCCAGTACCTTCACACAAGCATATGCACATCCAGCAGCTATGCAGCACGTGACCCCACCTTTAGTGTTGAAGTAACATTCTCCGCTGCTGTGGACGGAGGCTGAGGCCACAGCAGTGCTCAGCATGCAAACTGCTGCCACAAGCACCTCCAGTCCCGTCTGCTTCGCCCACATGCCTGTCAAACTTCGCAGAAGGAATACGGCCCCTGAAACTGTTCTCGTCTTATAACATTCTGTTCTGCCTCCTTTCAGTTACATCTCTGCTGAAGTTTTATTTTAGCACTGTTTTTCTTTAAATCCTTGGCATATTTAAACCTGGTGTATCGCACTGTAGTCTGGAATGCATGTAAATTCTGTAATGTTTGGCACACATATTGTGAAATGTAGGATTTTGAGCACTTGACTCTTTAAATTTGTACCCTCGTGTTAATTTTTTTATTTATTTCATTACTTGCAAATATGTTAAACTATACAGATACTCTTTACATGTTCCTTCCCTTCTAAACTTCTTCTGATAAGATCATTGCCTTCCCATCTCTCACAGTTTTTCATTGCTGTCTACCTCTGTTTTCTCCAGTTTTCATGCAGCTTCTTAAATGTCAGAATGGATTCTTACCTTTGCTGTTCCTTGTCTTTGGCACTCCGTCCCCTAATCTCCCCACTGCGCACTGCTCTGCACTGCAATGCCCGCTTCACTCTCAGATATTTATGCCTGATGCCTCCCCCCTTTTTCCACTGGTTATTAACGTGTAATGTTTGCTTTCTTAATTTCTTCTTCCTGTCCACGACAGTCCTTTCCACGCACACAGGGTGCACTGACACAGATAACATTTTCACCAGGGCCGTGGGGACCTACCTCAGTTAGACTGTCTGTTTGGCAATTAGTGATGGACATCAATAGGCTTTTGAGCCATTGAGCCGGTCAGGTTTTCGTTTTTTGTCTGCAAGGATGCAGTGCTGCTGTTTGGGCTGTGTTTGTGCCTTTTTATGTCCATTTAGTAAACAATGCTACCCATGAAATTTGCATGTAGTATGTATATAATATTCCTATGCATCTTGAACAGGTGGAACATAATTTTCACAAGTTTCTAAATAGATATTATAAGGTCTTTATACCTACTTTACACCTATGGGGAGTGGGTAACAACATATTGACCTTAAATACGTTTAGGTCAAATAATAATTTATGAACATAATGCCTGTTGTAAGAGAAAGATTAATTGTATTTTTTTCACAAATCAAAGATGGCTGACAGCTAAAGGAAGCAGAATGACAGCTGACAATATTAAGATGGCTGTTAAACTTTACCTATATTCGAATGTTTTCGCATGACGCATCTGCTTCTGGGTCTTTGGTGCATTTGTTCTTGTTAGCTGTAGCGCTTTGTATAAGATGTCTTGTTTGTGCTGATAAGACACAGGCATGCAAACGTATAGCCATAAATTCAACAAACACATAAATACAGAGTGGTTTTATTGCACAGCTCACAGACTTGGACTGCCCTGCTTGTTGTAGCGCCCCCTGCTGTTGCGCAAAATGCAATACATGGCTGTGACTGAACTCAGCACCTCCTCCCATCCATCTTCTAACTGCTTGTCCTGGTCAGAGTCAGGGGAATATTAAATTGCATTTGGCCGTCTGCTTCGCCCACATGGCTGTCAAACTTAACAGAAGGAATAAGGTCCCTGAAACTGTTCTCATTTTATAACATTCTGTTCTGCCAATGACTAATTTATTAAACCACATATATATCATACCTCATTAATTCAGATCCATAACATTTAAGCGAATGAGTCAAACACAAATGGAAAAGAGGCAGTTTTAGATAATCTAGCCCAATCTTATCCAGAAAGGGCCGGTGTGTATGTGGGTTTTGCTGCAGCCCCCTAATTAGATTACTAATTAGAGGACTGATTGGCTGAAGAGTCCTCACCCCTGGGATTCAACAGCTGACCTAAAGGTTATCCTAAAAACCTGCATACACACCGGCCCTTTGCAGATAAGATTGCCCCCCCCTGATCTAGCCATTACCGTATACATTTTACAAACCGTTATGAATATGGGATCCCTTTCATACAAATTTCTGTAATACTGGCGATGTCATTTCAAAATGTAATTTAAAAAGCATTCGCTGATGTTACATCACCATGTTTTCATTACTTTTAATCAAGCCTGTGTTGCAATGTAAATTATTTAAGTGTTCAGGCCTACCATTGAGCACATCGCACATGCCGTCAGTTGTTATAAGATTTACTTAGCTTGGTGTTTCGGAATAAACTGACAGTTGGAAAATGAAAAAGAGTATTATACACCCATGCCTTGGTTAGCGACCGAAGTACGACGGTAATAAAAAAATCAATTTTCTGATCACTGAGCGCATTTACGAGCAAATATCATACGCCTGACAACAACGTGAGAGCGACCTTTGAAGCAGAATGTACAAACTGTTGCTAAAAATGTCCACTTCACAAAGGATAAAAGAAGCTGAGTATGGAGGGCTGAAGTAGAGTAGTGAGCACAGTCATGGTCACGCCTAAGCTACCATGATACTCACGTAGAGACCTTTTATTTAAAGACATAATCATTGGAACTCAATCACTAAATGAGTGGTTGTACATACATCTGACCTCTTGTAAGGAGAATCACGTGAGAAGTAGTTTTAGTACAAAAGAATAGTTTAGGAAAGACAAGTTTGGTGGCATTCTCTGTTAATCACATTTGGAATGTTAGTATGTCAGGGAAGGTGTGGGTTTGGAGCCATAAAGTTTAGGGGGAGGTATAGGTAAGAATGAGAAGATGCAGTATGTGGCAGATGGCGAGTGAGAGTGATTTGGATCAGCCTGTAATTAATGTACCTATTAGGGCAACTCATCTTGTACCTTCAGCAATCTTGGGCAACCATTAGTAATTATGTGTAATTATGCAATGGTGAACCAGGATAGAAGGTTGTGTGTGACACAAAATGTTGTGTATCACTTTGAATCAAAAACTGCTCACATATCTGTCATTTCCAACTGGTTCAGTGACATTCAGAGCAACAGAACTGCACCACTGAGTTTTCTGAAATCGTGCCAAGTTAGTAAGTGACTGGGAAGAGCTTCTCCACTTACAGGTTCCCTGCCCGGGGGGGGGACACTGAAAAAGCCGTTATAAAGAAATCCCATTTTCTCAGCGCGTCCTGCAATCAGAGGAATGGCAAACACCCATCACTTTCACATTTGCTTAGTTGGCATGTGGCTCATGGACGTCAATTCCCCGGCAACTTATTAGCCAAATTATAAACTGGGCTGTTGTGACCTTCTGACCTCAGAGCACAGCCTCACTCACACGCACAGACCATAACGCCTGATCCGGAATGGGCAGCACTCATTTTCGTTGTTCTCCGGACAGCTGACTTTTTTTCATGCCTCTCCATTGTTTGCTGAACCCATCCCCAGTTCCATAATCAAAGCCCCCATTCTGTTCTCCCACCCCCAGGTATGTGGTTTGTGACACCCATACGAAGTCTAACAGTAGCTTGCAGGTTAGGAGCAGAATTGTGCTCTATGCACGGGGACACGGTAATGGTGAGTCAAAGGATATGTGAAACGTGAAAGCATGCTAACCAAGTGACACAATAAAATATTGTACATATTATTTATTGAGCAGGTGCTTTAATCCAAAGTGACATACATTTTTTTTGAGAAGGCAGAGCCAGATGGTACCTAGAGCAATTGGGGCTTAAGAGACTTACTCAAGGGTCCAACGGTGAAATCATTCTGCAGACCTGGGCATTTGAACTTCCAGACACAGGTGTAAAGTCCCAACCCGCTGAGCCACAGACCACCCCTAGTGGTGCATATAACTCAATATCTTAAGGCAGAGGTGTAGCGATAGGACAGAGAAGGCAGGCGATTTCCTGGGGCCCCAAGCTGGGAGAGCTTACCCGAGGGCCGCCGATTGCGTAGTGAAAATGAAAGTCTTGTGTTTATTAAATTCTACTTGTTGATGTTGTTAATTTTGACCCTAAAACAATGGTGATGAGTTTTACCATGTTGGGGGGAGGGTCAGCTGGAAGGTCCCACAGAGTCACCTTTGTCCTCGGGCACCTAACAAGCATACAGCACTATATGACACATACATAAGCAGCCTCGTGTGGGTGAGGCAGCTGAGCAGTGATGAGCAGAACAGAAAAACAGAAGATGTAACGATGAGAGGCTTATCTTAAGAACATAAGATGTAACGATGTGAGGCTTATCATAAGAACATAAGAAATTTACAAACGAGAGGAGGCCATTCGGCCGAAGTGTTGGGGGCTGTTCTACTACTTGGGCCCCAGCATTTCAGAAATGCCTGGAAGATGAAGGTCCCAAAGATCCTGAGGTACTTTCATGAAGGCCTATAGAGACAAAGAATTTGTGTCCCCGGCGGCCAAGAACGATTAAATACAACAAGGTAAAAGCGAAATCAACACATGCACAGCTTAATGAATAGCATAACATTCCTTTCTGCATATTTTACACCATAGAACAATAATGAAATTTTATATATGACACATTGATATTTCCCCCCCCCCTTTTTAACAAAGACATCAGTGCTTATGTGGCATCAATAGCAGATGCCAAATACAACATCCTTAATACCACCTCTAGTGTCTGCTCTCTGTCAAAGATGCGAGACACGGCAGATATTGTTGTGGATCCTCCCATGTTGAGCTGTGCTCAGGATCTGTAGGAATATGTCTGATATTTAGTTGACGCGTTATGTTGATGAACAACCGAATATCAAACATATCACACAGCTCCTGGCCAAGGAAGGGCTGCTCACGTGATCCATCCCTCCAAGACTGATAGGCTAGAATGCCTTCCTGGTCGGTCGATTTAAATAACGGGAAGGAAATAGGATCAAAAGATTTAGGTCAGGTCAGGGAACAGAGATGATAGCTAGCTGGAAATACTGAGGAGGAGAGTGAGGTTAGGCTGGGAAATATAGATGGAAGTCAAAAACAAGAGAGAAAATGGAACAAATGCTACTACTTTAAGGAAACAATGGTAGGGTTAGAAAAAAATTATTTTTAAAGCATTTGAAAGATTGTCTAGGCAACAAAGCATATATCAGAGGGAATCTTACTGTACAAGTTGATCCAAAATGAAGGCACAGAAATGAGTGCCTAGTCAAACAGAGGGCACAAGTGAGCATTACGTCTTACACAAACAATAGACATTCCGGATCCAAGGGCCGGTCCAGGCAGACAAACACAGGCTCTCTCACGTGAGGCCTGCACTCACTCGGTTCAGCAACGGCCCAGAAGTCCTCGTCAGTGGCTCCGGTGGCGGTTCAGCAGAGGCGTCGCACCGAAGAGCGTGATCGTACACGCAAAAGCCGTCCGTAGCGTCTGTGACTTCTGGCACGGCACACTGACTTAGATGCGGTTCTCCTCAGCTGACGCCACGAGCAGATCATGCTCGCCATCGTGTGTTTGAATACAGTGCGCGGAGCTGCATGCGTATGCGCATACAGTGTGGTAATCTAATGTTTCTGTCCACACAGCCATCAGTGTACTGATGTGCTGGCTTTGCGTAGAGCATAATGCAGAGTAATGCAGTGTTTGTTTTTGTTTGGTGGTGTTCGCGCCTGAAACGTTGCCGTGTGAAACGATGAGGTGTGTGAGTGTTGTCTGTCTGTATGTGTGTACAGCCCCATGAGGGACAGGATATATATAGCCCCAGCCTGTAGTGCGAAGGTCCCTTAACACATGGACATTTTCCCTGCTTAATTAACAGCTTATTGATTGATGCGTCCCTGCGGCTCCCTCTCCACTCATTAGCCAGATCAATAGATTTGATTTCCATTTGGACAGGAGGTCACAGTCACACGCAATCGAACG